AATTCATCCCAAATTCTCTGGAACTGTTTAAATTGCACCTCTGAGCCACTTCTTGCAAACCAAAGCCCTGATTCTCCAAATAGATATAACAGCATATAAACTGATGCCCAGGCAGTGCCTGACTGATACTCCTACCAATTTGAGTGGTTTAAGGGCTTTCAGGATACTATTTGCGAAATTGGCTTCTGGATGATTTCTTTCAATAATACTTGCTTTTAAAATAATATAACAATATATCTATATAAATATATGTCTCAATATGGTGCACTGAAGATTTTGCTACCAGAAACACTTATCTGGGGCAGCACGTACTCACAGACAAACAACTGCTGTTAACTAGTTTTCAAGCTCAAGGGAAGCTGTCACTCATTTTTTGTGAGTAGCAGGGGAGCCGAAATAATGATGAATGGGGAAGAAATGGAACAATGGCCAATTTATCTGTCTGTCAGAGAAAACTGCCACAGCACTGGATACACTGACATCTTGTTGGGATTCCTGCACTTGCAAGTTCATCTGCAACCCTCCAAGTCAACTTTCATCAAACTGGAAGAGTTCTGCCAAAATCTGAATGAAACCCATTCTACATCAGCCAGCATAGTTTACAATGAGTTCATCTTATTATGAGAGGCATAAATGGAGTGAAAAGGCAGAAGAGGAGGAAGGTTAAGTTGCTTGAATGAAAAACAAACTCCGTGCCAAGGCTGTTGGTGGAGAACTGAGAGGAAAGACAGATCTTTGCTTTTCCCAGCTTTTCTCTTGGGCTTTAGCAGGTACCTGGCGGACCAGTGTGGTTGTCACCAGTGCCAGTGACAGCATTCCCATGTTCACCCAAGACTTGGCATATACAGGCCCAGAGATCTCAGTGGTTGTGCCAAGTGGGACATGTTGCCTCCAGGGCACCGACAGCTTCAAGGTGAACAGTTCAAAGGTTATTTTATCTGGGGCTGTGCTGATAACAGCTCCAGTTAGCTGACAACCTCTTTTTCTTCATTACAAGGTCCAGAGTTGAATGGGTTCCCCACCAAAAATGGACTTTGCATCCTAAGATGTGCCTGGAGGTGATGCTCCCAGTCCTTTCACTCTTTTTAGCCTATAATCTGCAGGCAGAGAGACCATTTCTCAAGGATGTGTTCACCCAGGAACTCCAAATAATAAGATAACAAGGTGGAGAATAAAACAAGGAATTTGATAGCACCTGGGATGTTTCCCCAAAGAGCAGCTTCTGCACCCAAAATCTGGGAATTTAACAAAGATCTGAAGATACTCGAAAAGAAGTCCCAATGCACAAGGTACATTAGAAAAGCACAGGTTTTGCCAAGCAGTCACACAGAATTCAGTAAGTCTCTGTGACTGAGAAAACACACTCATGACAGTTTTTAGTGACTCCCTTTTTGCCTGCATGTCTGACCCTTAACACTTGAAATCTCTGCTTACCAAGAAAATGGCAAAACAATCTGTTCCCAAGAGTTGTATTCAGGTAAGAAATTTCCTCCAAAACATGTGAAAAGTGGAAGACACAGAATGATTGCCGTGACTGAAACCAGGTACAATCAGAATGTCCCATTCCTGTGTTGAAGTCAAGTTAAAATGATCAAAATGGAAAGATGCTGTACCAGCAATTAAAAACCTCAAAGTGTTTAATGCAGAGAAACTAAGTAGTCACTACACTACTAATTACCTGTATCACTAACCTGTTTCCTTTTTCTCCTTCAGGGAACATGCAAAACCACAAAGAGGTACTCAGCCTTTTTTCAAATCTACTACTATTCTTTTAATTATCTCCTATGCATATCATTTAAGGTGAGTCATTTTGCAAACATTTTTAGATGTGGAGATAAAAAAAAGATAAAAGCCTAGTAAGAGTTTCAAGCAGCTCAGCCATCTTCTTCCCACTAACACCATCCTCAGGAACCTCCATACATTCAAAAAGCTGTCTCTTACTGTCTTGAATGTTTTGTTTAAAACCAAAAAACAGCTATGCCTGTCTGTCCCACAAATCATTCTTGTACTTGGATTTTTCAGTCGTTACAAACTATATTCAAGTCTGAATTAGCCCTACACCAAGGAAAAAAGGCCCACTGGAGATGTAGCTCTGGGACACTGTCACATCTCCAGGAGCTTTCTACAGCCACGTGGTAGTTTCTGTTATTCCAGCAGACCTGCCAGACTTTAGGAAGTCAGCCTTTTTTACTTGTCTTGCCTCACACTAAGAAAGCTGTTTGGGACCCCCTCTACAGAATGAAGCAGTAACATGATGGAGAGTCTAAAACTCTCCAATAAAATAAGTAAAACCTGGCAGCCAGCCAACCTAAAGGCTGGTGATGGATTTAAACAAAGGAAAGGGTAAAATGCTGGGGTTTGACAGCGACATAAAACACATTTTTGTTACAGAAAAGATTCCACACAATCACATGTGCCCTGAAAATGAAAATGGTTTGTATTCCTTCGAGCAAAATGCTGCAAATAATCTAAACAGAACAAAAATAATCTAAATAAAATCTCTTATTGTTTCAAAGCCTGAGATGGATGGGATTTAAGGGGGGTGTATCATTTCAATAAGAGATAAATACACAGACTAAGATAAAATGCTTGCTTGTTGATACAAGCTTGCATGTTTATTGGGATAATTGATATGTTTGTATGTTTATTGGGATAATTAAAGTCTGCTCTGAACGTAATGCTCAGTTGAAAAAGTCTGGTATCACCCTATTCCTGATAGGGCAAGGTGTCAAACACTTACTGCTAATGGTGATGGCCTAATTAGATTGTTAGATTTTTCTCTGGCCAAGTGAACTGCACCAGCAGCATGAAAAACAGAATCGAAGGAATGCCAAACCAATGGGATGTTTTAAAATACACATAACACAACAAGAAGAAGCTTGTTTCTATACCTCAGTTTGAGTGTAGTTTACTATTTACAACAAAAAGAACTGAAAGTGGCTCTTGATTTTTGTTCTGTTGTCATAGGAGTCCAAGCTTTGGAAGGTTTTTATCAGTAGAGCACAGAATACTTTTGCGAAATATGGTGTTCAAATATATACTTTGCAAATTAAAAAAAAAATAGGAGTACCTTATTATAAACAACCAGCTGGAGTTTGAATTTCTGCATCTGCAAAGGCAAGGCAATTTCCATCTTTTTCAAGACAAGAATGATGAATGCTGTATAAATAAATTTTAAAGCTCCAGACACCTGTAAAGTAATAGCTGAACAGGACACAAGTTCCTCATCATTTCCAGTCCCTTTACCATTTTTCTGCTGAAGAAAATCAGTTTGCTTCTCACCCAACTATTAGCGAAATTTCATCCATTCTCTGATCGAAAATGACACAGAAAATTTTACAGAACATTTAATGTTTTCATTCAATGACAAACTGTGAGTGACTGGAATAGATTTGTTACAGGGCACTTCTGCTTCTTGCTAAGTAGAAGCTATGGTCGGGTTAAAGCGTGCAGTCTGACTAACCTCAACAGCTGTACAGCTGAAGTTGCCAGATTCAGAAACACTCTTCATCACATCCTTGCTCCACACCCTCTTTTCTTGGTATTTAAATACCGATTAAATAGCTTCCTGCCCCTGGGGAAGGCTCCCTGACTGCACTCGGGACACAGCAATGCAGAGTGATTTCTTGTACTCCAGTACAGCAAGATCAGCGCAGAAACCAGAGTATCCACTCAGACAAATCCCGGCAGTTTTGGAGGGGTTAGGAGGGTCAGGAACTAGACTAAAGTTTAGGAGGAACTGCCTCCTGAGCTCAGACGTTCTGTTTATCAGGACTATCAGCTCTGCCCTCCCCCTGTGTGCTGAGCAGACACCACGTGCCTTGTCTCGCACTGTGCCCGAGATCTGCGGTATCGGTCAGCTGATGATTGCTCGGGGTAATTAGACCATCAGGGATGATGGCTGTTTACAACAGGATTTACTCTTATGAAAACCATTAGCCCTTTAGGGTAAAAGCCGTGCTATTGTTATGCACAGTGTGTCTGGCACAACAGGTCATCAGCCCGGAGCCAGGAAAATAATCCTCTCTTCTACCATCAGGAGAGGCACAGTAAAGCAAAACCCACCGTGGTGAAAACCTGTAGCAACACTTAGAAGAGGAAAGGTGACTGCGAAGTCTACAGAGATTCTGGTTTTACTTCTTGGTGGGGGAAACTGGTGTAGGCCTGGAACCCAGATCTGAAAGAAAAATTGTGACTGGAAGTGTGGGAGTCAGTTTGCAAGAGAAAGTAATCTACTGAGTTGTTTTACTTAATAGGAGTCATCTTTTACAAGTTATTTCCTTCGACTGTGCCAAAGCACTCCCTTCAAGACAGAATTTTCAAGAGGGGTAAAACCTATGGGGAAAGTATAGAGATTTCTACTGCCAAGCAACCAGTCCTTTCGGTCACAATCTCTTTTTCCTCCTCCAGAAATCCTTTTTGCCAGTTTTCCTATTGAACCCGATTTTGTCCTGTCTAACCTCCACTCCAGGACCTTCCAACACCAACATGCAGCATCAGCTTAGCAAAACAGCTCCTTCCACTCATGCCTGAATGGAAGAAGGATGGAAAAGTCACCCAGGGCTCTCCACGGGGAAGACAAGTCTGTTATGAATGCAGACCTGACAGCTAAGACACATGTAATCACCTCAGCTTCTCTTTAAACACAAAGTCACTCTAGCTTATTTATTCATTATGTTTTCCTTTGCAGAAGCACCTAGCAAGACATGGAAGCCCCACTATGGGACTTTTGCAAGAGTAACCAGTAAAATAACAGTCAAAAACAATTAAAAAACACTACAGCTTTTCCTGACTGAGCTGGTAGTGAATGAATGCCTTGCAGTAAATCAACTCCGTACAAAAGGGAAGGAATACTCACATTTGTACAGTGGTCAGAAAGTGTCCTGGGAAATTAGATGAAGAACTGAAGTTATTTCTTTGCTAAGTCAAAGCCACTGTTCCAGCCACCGTTTCCAGAAACTATTAGCAATGAAATTTAAGGGAAAAAAAAAAAAAGAACCTTGAACATTCATGTCAAATGATACAACTTTAATTTCTAAAAGGTGATAAGTACTAAGAAACTGGTCTAGTTGACAGGCAATTAATCCTCCTTGCATAGTACATTTATCTCCATGGGATATCAAGATTTACAACATTTCAGGAAAACTGGCACCTAAGTGAGCAAGCAGCCTCAGTCCTATACAAAAGTTACAGACAGCCTAATTGTTTCCAAGTTGTACTCTCTAATGGATCCAGAGAATAGTCTTTGCTTTGTCCCCATCTATCCCACATTACAGTATTCTCTCACTGCACTTTACAGTTGGCCTCTGTGTAGAAAATATAAAAGGCTGCAACCCACACTGATAGAGTAATTCACAATTAATTAGCTTCGTTCTATTCAAATTTGGCCTTTTTGAGGTCAAATACCTCAAAGTACGGAGTAATGGACTTTATTTTTTCATGTAGAATGTGCACCTCATAACGCCTGTGATTACTTGATAAAGACTTTGTCCAGAGGATGTTTAATCCTTTCCTTGAGAAGGAAGAAAAATGAAGCTTCAGTTTCAGAAGTGCTCTCGACACTCATCTAAAATAAGCACTGAATCTTACAGGAAGTAAAAAAAATTTAACTTGCTTAACCAGCTTACTAACAAGACAAGAGTAGAAACACTTTTCATATAAAAAGAAGTTACATTTTGCTGTATGGGTTAAGACATATCTACAACAGATTTTTTTTTCCTTTACAGAACGATCATTGGAGAGGAGCATTGTACTTACATCATCATTAATTAATCCCTTTTTTCTAGTAACTTGTGTCCTGATTTTCAAAAGCACTGATTATCAGCATATCCTAGGTACTGAATGGTAGCAGCAGGCACTCAGAACTGTTGAAAATAGACTATTAGTACTCATACTTATGCTGCAAATGCACCATTTGAAGATATTTCTCTTGAGAACGGGTAACTTTACTTTTTAGTCAAAATTATTCTTGTAGTGTTTTAGAATGTTTGAAGTAACTATTACCACTAATTACTTAACACACTGTAGTGGATTATGATCAAAATTAATACGTCAAAAAATTAAGTTTATGATAAATAAACTTTGGAAAAATTTATACAAGGCCGTAAATAAATAATTTGAACTTCAGTCTCATTAGGAAGTAAAACAATACATCACACGACAATATCATCCTATCTAAACAATACAATCTTGCTATATTTTATTGCATAATAATCTGAGAGTAACATCTTAAGTAAAATATGTAAAGAAACAAAACCATTAGATTTACTTTCTTTAATATTGAACAACCAGTTTGTCCTTTGTACATAATCCAATTTAAAGATAATATAATTAGCATTTCCAGCATTAACAGTCTGTATTTACAATGAATGAGATGGGGTAGATAATCTAAAGAGTATTCAAATCTGTATGAAACAAATCAAAATACGAAGATTTACAGTAGTAGGCTCAAAATCCAAGACTTTTCCATTGATGGAATGCGATTTAAAAGGCTTTATTGCCTTTATTATTTGTAAGGGTTCCTGAAATGGTGATTTAAACATCTGAAATCTTCAGTAATGCCTTCATTATTTGTACATGACATTAAAAATTAATTCCAATACTTCTATTTTTCACTTGCTTGTAGACCAGTCTGAAATCTGATGAAAGGATAACAAGGAAGTTTACTATATAATCCTAATTCCATATTCCTGAATACAACGGTTGGAAGTAGATGATGTCAGTCCATTCCAAGGGTTATGTACACAAAACTTAGAAAATGTTCTTCACTCTTGCATAAAATGTGTACACAGTACCAGTGAGTGGGTGACTTCAAAGTTTTTATGGTTTGCTGCTGGCATGGACCTTTGCTGATTGAAAATAAAATACCTTTCACTCTATTGTTCTGGTAGCAGTTTTAGAAGTTAATCATCAATCCCTGGTGTTTCACCCTGCTGTATTCTGGAGGCTATTCTAATGGCTTCTTCCAGAGACTGTTGTTCTCCAAGCTGAAACAAATGCATTGAAACATAGGTAAATCCAAAGTGTTATACATGGATAATAAAGGCACTAAAAAAAGATATGAAAACAAAGATCTAGATATCAAATAATATTTTAGCCCAAATAAACATGATCAGTATTGTCACACCTCTCCTGGGTAATATATACCAGCAGCTATCTAATCAGCATGACAATTAAGATAGCTGCTGATAGGAGATTAAACTGAGTTTCTAAGTATCTACCGAATACATTTGCTTCAAAGAACTGCTCCAAGGTAAACACACTTCACGACACACAAAGTAGGTGATAATTCAACTTGGCAGATATTACAAAGCTAAAACAAGGCTTTCTAAAGTCATGGTGGCTGCTGGATTACATTTTAACACTGGCAAAGCAAACAAACATCTTCATTTTTCTGTTACACAAAGTCAGCTCTGTGGAACACCATATAAGAGTAATTTATAGAAAAAAATATATTTACTGCAGAATCCTGACTGTATAAAAAAAAACTGTTGTGATGACACTGTTTGATTCCACAGTAGTTTAGAGAGGAAATTATCTTGTAGTTGCAACTAGAAAGTCATCGATGTATCTGGCACTACCAGAAGCAACATAACCTGAAAAAAGACTGGAGACATGATATGGGGAAAGAATCCGTGGAATTTTATAATATGGATGCTATGCATGTACAACCAGTGATTGGTACACTGAAGCCAATCTCAGTCTCACAAAAAATCATACAGCTGGCCTGGGGTAAAAACACAAGAGAGTGTGAAAGATAAAATCAGATTATTTGACCTAATGGGACAGTTGTAAGTATCCCTTGTTATTCTTACAGTCATTGCATATCACCTTCTGGAGCCACTCAAATCAAGAAGACCTCTGTTATCACCTCGTTAGGACTTTAACCTGACCATCAGGCTTTACCAGTATTTAGAAATAAAACGGGTTTATTTATTAGAATCAAAGTACAAAAGAAACCTATCAAAACCTCAGGAATAATTAATTATATTTTAATTTTGAATTCTCTGTCTTCTATTTGTATTATATATTTTAAGTTTAATAAAAGTAAAGCTATTTCACCAAATGCTCCACTGTTGGTAAAAAAAAGAGGGGCATGAGCAGAGAGTGCCTATATTTTCCTTTCATTCAAAGGGAACACTGCTGAGGGTACAACTATGCTTTCCTGCAAACAATTACCTTCTGATATGGTTTCTCTTAACAAGTAGTTTTGGTTATTGCCAACTTAGCTCAAAAGAGAAGAGTTCAGAATTCAGAGCTGCTCAATTTTCATTGCTCTTCAACCAGCATCTGACTTGCTATTTTCCATTTAACAAAGGAGGAAATAACAGTCTCTCCTTTCTGCTTGAAGATACTAACACTTTTCCTTTCAATTTGAGCTCTTAAGAGCTCTTTCATACCTAGAAACTACCTTTTCATTACAGTGTTTGAACAACGTGAGGAACTATTTACAGAGACTACTGCTGGTACTGTGCTGGTTTGGCACATACAAAGAAGGTCCCTATTTCCAGAGATTTAATAGTTAATCTTTCTATGTAACTGTTTGCACCTTTTCACTGTTAGCATTTCAAGGTTCAAATAACGAGTTCACTAATTTTATAAGTTCATAGCAATTTACCCTTGAGAGTTTGGTTTTATACATGTCAGCTCTACATGTAAAGCTGAAGGATGAATGAAAGCACATTTCCACTGAAAACCTGTGACTCCATGAACAATTCAGTTGACCTGAAATTGGACTCACCCCCTTTTATGGAAATGCTACAAGTAGATTTGGAAAATCAGGTGCTGCTTATTCCTCTTCTTAACCCTATGTATTACTTAAAATATGAGACCATATGGTTATGGTCAATTTTTTTGCAGGGATGCCAAGCTTATTTGAATCATTTCGTTACATGACTAGGAACTTTTAACTCGAGTAGAAGCACTCCAAAAAACATTTATCCCCATCTTACCTGTACTGCAATTTGTGTCCCATTGGATGTAGCCAACAATGTAACAGGTCTAGTTTCTGTAGTCACTAAATGGTGCCCGTGTTGCTGATGTCCCATTTCTGAGGAGGCACTGTGAAATGCTGCTAAGTCTTGAGCCACAATGGCAACCTTCAAGACCAAAAGAAGAGAATCAGCTCTGGTCCTGTACTGATCTCATACAACCACTGTCTTCACAGTTAAATTCAATCCTGTGACTGTGCAGTTTTTTAAGAAAGGTTGCCATAATTGTGTTCTCAAAGTTATCTACTAGCTCTTAAAATATACATACCCTCAGGACTGCAGAAATTCAATAAGTGTGCCTATAAGCCTGTGATCACTTACAGAGGCAGAATAAGTATCTTCATTTTCATCTGGTGCATTTTTAGAGCAGCAGAATCCATTTTAACATGAAGATTATATCTTTATATTTCTACTAAAAAGGTAGCTATTGTATGCATATTAAAAACAAATCCATAGATACATACTTACACAAATTTCCTATCTGCCAAATAAGTCACAATCCCATAGTATTAAGCAATAAAATTATACAGTTCATACTGTATTCTATTCTTAGCTCTGCCATTCACCTAAATGAATTATTAGACTGGTACCTCAGAACTTTGTCTTGGCAGAATACATGAACATTCTGCCATATCTCGATGTATAGGACTGGAGTAGAACATACCAGACACTTCAGAGGGGAATGCTAGAGCCAGGTGCTGAAAGCTGCTTTACTAAGATAAACCTACACAAACACCAGAACTGTGATGGCTTAGATGCCCATTTTATACCAGCTCATAAAGGAACATTCCCCGTGTGTGCAGGATGATCTCTTACCTGCTGCCCTTCGGTGCCCTCTGCAGTAACCATCGCCACGGAATGCGTTCCTGCAGAAGAGATGACAGCGTCGTGGGCAGGGACGGTGATGGTGGTGCCATCTTGTGTCACCATAGTGATAGTATTGCCAATGGCCTGCATGTCTGCCTGGGATATGTTGACCTGAAACACAAAATCATTCATGAAGTAAAAATAGAAGGTCTGGTTGCTGCTCAAGTCATACTTGTGTCTTAAGGTTTTGGCAACATATCGTGTGTTTTTAAGTAAGGTTTAAACAAAAAGATGACATTCTTAACAACATTTATCAAAAATTCCTGCCAGTTGGTTCAGCAGGAATACTCCTGATAGTTCGGTTTCTTTATTTGAAACAGTGCGTAGCAACCCAGAAAAAAAAGTCAACTTGTTCACAATAGCAAAGAAAAACATTTTAAGCCATGATGTCAAACTGGCCAAAAGATCCAGCAGCCGTTATTCCACTTCCTGACCAGTGTGCTCATTCATTCCTCTGGAATCACCATCACTCTTTGGCCAAGTCCCCATCTGTGACAAAGAGCCCTTGTCTTTGTCTTCATTGGGATCTAATAGTTCATGACCTTTTCAGACACACTTATCTGTTTACAGAAATAAAAATCTGACTCCCAGTAATAAAAGTTTGCATACTTAATTCCAGAGTCTACAACTCCATGTTAATCAGATCATATCCCAAATAACAGCATGACTGATTATCTATGCATGTGTCTTACACAGTGGACAATGGGATTTAAGGTAGTACCACCTGACATACTTTGACCTTAATGGAAATACTGAAGAGGCCTACGAAGGCTTAGAATTTAAACCAAAATAAATTCATAAAAATTAATGATCTAAATTACCGATGTCTCCAGTATAAATGCATTAGGGCATCAGACACATGATTTTATGTCTGTTTTACAAGGAAATAAATCCCAGAACTGAAGTCAAGCTGAAGGATAATTTAAATAAATGTAGGAACTCTCTGTCAAGGTTTCTGCAGACCTTCATTTTAGAGGGTAAAAATGCCAGTTACTCAGTACTGCTGCAATGTCCAAAGCTGACAATGTAAGAGCCCCCTTGAAGATTTAATTTTCAGTTTGAATTCAGAATATATCTTTCATATGCTACTGATATTTAAGCTGCCCTTCCAGCTGAGATATAAACCTTTCCTCACAAGCCTTCAGTATATTGCTACAGTGAATCAAGAGAGTTTTGCTGAAGTCCCTTCCCAATGAAATTTCATATGAAGTCTTTAAAAAAAAACATCCCTAGGAATCCTTACAATAATATACCCATAGGAATTTTCAAGTGGAGGAGGTAACAAAGCATTCCTTATCCTCTGGCTTATGTTAGGAATGGTAAGAACTGCACACTACCAAACTCCTTGTAAAGCAGGCACCTGGACTGGAAAGACTTCCCAATCCTTCAGCCCCCCAAAGTGTGTGCAGACAACAGTGAAGATGACCACAATCTACTAACAGCACAATCAGGAAATTCTGAGAAACCTCAGAAACTAGGTGGTGTATCAGACAATTGTTAAAACAGCTCATTTAAGAGTGACAAAGATATCAAGGATAGACAAACCCCCTATCTTTGTATACAAAGTTTCACATGTCAGTATATGTGGTTTCATTTAGGTATCCCACAGGAGGCAAAACCCTAAATATATCCTGATGCAGCTCCAAAGAAGCTTCTTTCCTTAAGAAAACCACGCACATATTTATCGAGAATCTGCAAACACGCGCCTTAATTCTCAGTTTATTTTTGTCAGCCCTCAAACGCTGTGGTTACTTACATGCTGGGTTCCATCCTGGGATATTAGTGCCACTTGTTGGCCTAATCCTGACTGAGTAACTGTAGCAACCTGTGCAGAAATTACATCTTCTCCCTCTACCCCTGTCACATAGGTTATCTGGGAACCTTTGAGAACATCTTCACCTTGACCTATTTGAGACAAAAAAAGGCAAGAGGAGAGTTTACATACTCTAAACGCTGCCAGGAAAGCAAATAAGGATTAAGTCCCAGCCTGGTTTGAAGCTTTTAAACACTCCAATGGAACAATGTAGTGGAAAGATGAGAAAAATAAAAGATACCAAAACCCGGCCAGAAAGTCTGTTATTTTGGGAACACGGGATATAATCTTCTAGCAGTGAGTTTTTACACACATAAATACTATATATGAAGAAACTATACATTTAGCTTATAAGCAAATATTAAAATGGTGGCAAACATTCCTAATTTAATTATCATTAAATGTTAACTTCTCCACACAAGGGGCTTCATGCAAACACAACTGGAAGCTTTTTAAAAAAGTTATTAATTAACGAACATACAAAAGAACACAGAGACACCTTTGTGTGGAGATTTAAGTAAGTTCATTATCTTAAGAAATGTTTAACTTCAGCAAATGAATCTTATCATTCCTTTAAGAGAAGGAATTAGGCTATAGCAAATCTTCTTGAGGCCTTCAGTGCAGTTTCCCATGAGCATGTAGCAAAACAACTTTTCTAACCAAAACAATATTTCTGATATTCTGCCTCATCTAAATATCACCATTTGACAAGTGGTATTTGTCCTGTCACAGTACCTCCTTTGGTCTCATCTTTTATAGTCATGGGATTCAACACTCATGCTACCGTGAAAAACATACTCTGAGGGGTGCTGCAGCACAGAAGCTTATTTTCATCTCAGTTCTGAGGAGTGCCCTAGAGACAGTTATAAACCACAGCAGAAGCAGCCCACTATCAGCATGCTGCAAAAACAATGTTTTTTTCCTCAAGGCAGAGCCTTTATTCCTGCACAAAAGACTGTCACCAACCATGGATTATATGTACTCTTAGAAAAATGCAATAGGTTGCAATCAAAGTAGTTTAGATTGTCTTAGTCCCTTCCCCACATTCATGTTTATTGTGGGTTTGCTGAGACTACGACTGAAATGTCTCTCTTACACCCAGGACTGCTGTAAATGAATTTATTATCTGACCAGTTACTCTCTCGATTTCTGTTTACAAGTTGCCTACCACAGTAAAGTCTTACAGACAAATTAGGATACCTTTATAAAGTACTTCCAATTCTTATCTATGCTTTAATTTTCAATAACCCCAGAAAAATACTATCCAGCCTGTTTTTTTTACAAGAGAATTGAAGACTGAAATTCTAACCTGGAGGTGGCTCAAAAAAAGCCTCTTGTTCTTCCTCAATGGGCTCAGTGTCGTTGTGCGCTGTCCGCTTGTGCATAGCAAGAGTAGAAATCTGCTTGTAGGTTTTCCCACAGTGATTACAGTTGTAGGGTTTGGAATGAGTGTGTACAACATGATGTTTGTATAAACTGGAATACTCTGTAAAACGTTTATCACAGCCAGGAACTGTACAGACATAGGGCTTCTCCCCTGTAGGGGAAAACAAAAGGGACAAAGAAAACCTTATCCAGGATGCACAGAAAAAATTTGCCCGCAAATGATGTTTAGTGACACACCTTCATTACCGACCACACTTTTATTTCAAAGGCAACAGTGAAGCTCATCCTCACAAAGTTTATCAATGCAGTCTTTTACTGTGTTTTTTAAAAACTACTGCCAGTATAAGTTGGGCCCATTTTTCCCCCTTTCGTTCCATCTAAAACATGCTTCTGATGAAGACAGAATGATACAGACTGAAAGCTGCCATGTCAGTTTGCCAATCTGTTGAAAACTTTTTTCTTTTATTACTGGAAACCCTACACTTTTCCTCAATGATCAGGTATGTCTATTCACTATAGCATCACCTACTTCTGAGTCTGTAAAGCTCTGAAGAAATCTACAGGAAGCACGTTTAAACAATTACGGTTTCATATAGAAACAACTTTTATTTAAAAACCAAGGAAACAAATGTCTAAATTGCATTGTAAAGTAAAAATATAAACTGAGATACGAAACACAGATCTAGGAAGCACGTGTTTTATAAAATACGTAATGCTACCAAGATGATATGGCTATCACAGGCTTTTACATTTTAGAATCTTCAAATTTGTGGTGATTTTTTCTGCCAGCTAACCCTGAAAATCAAGTTGGGTACATATTTTCACCTCCAGTCGATAAAAAGGAAGTTATGACCACAGTTTCAGCAGCAAGGAAAATACAGCTGGGATGAAAGGGTGACTCATTACAGTGAGTCAAAGTTAAGCTCAGACTTGTCCTTTACTGTTATTTATTTACAAAACAGGTCACAAGTGAGGCAAGCCCCAGAACCACATTAAGGATTTAGTCCAATGTCCATTGAAGACAAGGTTTTGCATCTGTTTTTAAAAACTCTGTATCCAAACCAAAATTATTCTGCCTTGACAGCAAGGTGGGAAACCTAACTGCTTAACTCTCCTCAGCTGAGGGGAGAGAAGACCCAAAGAAAAGCACCAAACCAGGTCATATGAACATGACTATACCCAGTTACAGCACACCAAAATATTGCTCACAAGGAGAATGACAGCCTCTCCTAAGCAGATTGCACTTCAAAATACAAAGCATCACTCATATACCTGTGTGTATTCTCACATGATTCTTATAATTAGTTGCACTGGCAAAAGCTCTCCCACATCCTGGCTCTGTACAGTAATAAGGCCTTTCGCCTGTGTGTGTCCTGATGTGAACCTTTCTAATATTAGACGTTGTGAATGACCTGCCACATCCTTCAAAGGGACACTTAAAAGGCCTTTCACCTGAAAAAAGACAAGAAAAGGTACACATGCAAAAGTTACAAAAGAACAAAAATTCTCCGTTACATTTAGACTGAATGTAGGAATCCAAAGCTACCAATTTTATCATTGAGATCCTCAGTCAGAAATACCATGAACATGCCACTGTGAAGTGTTGTAGTTTAGCCAAAACTGGCAAAATTTGGGAAAATTATACAGTCTGTAAGCTAAATGATGAAGCATTTAGATTAGTACTTTATAAGGCATAAAACAGACTCAGTTCATTTGATGAGCTTCCACATTGTCTGTATTCTAACAAGTAGTCAATACACTCCCCAATTCATACCTATATTATCCAAAACAAGTGTATCATACCATTTGCACATTTGTCAATTGTTAATTCATAAAATGAAAAAAAAAACCCTTAATGGTTTAACATATGATAAGATACAAATGGGTAAATAAAACTCACTATAGAGAACACGAGAAGAACAAACTTTATAAAGAGAGACAGCCACAAATCTCAAGTTTCAAACTCCAAAACCAGAGCAATCATAAATAAAAGTTCTTTTAAAGTAAGTCTAATAATATAATATAAATTTAAGCACAATAACTTACAACCCTGCACCAGAACGTTCCACTGTGAACACCAGACAAGGTCAACCACTAACACCCCAAACCCCTGACCTTTCAGATCTATCAAAGCACACAGAGAGAGAGAGCAAAGGGGGTGAAGTTTGGAGAAGTTCGAGCCACCTGACAGGCTGTCCTCTGCCTCAACACTTCTAGAGCTAAGTACATTCAACCTATTGTACTGCTTACCAAAGAGAAGAATCCTAGAGCAAGAGAGGGCAGAACACCACTACAGATACAACAATAGGTACTTAGAGACAGAAATAAAAAACCAAGTCCTGATAGCGACACTAATACCACAAAACTCCAAAGCAGTTAACTCCTTGGCAGAGGAAACTCCTATTCACTCCTTCGGCCAGCTGTTTCGGGAAGGTTTTCCAGCCTCTTGCCAAGGCAGTGCGTGTGTATTACGCTACACTCCTCAGTGTTGTGTTACCATGGCTCCCCCAAGCCTTGCTTCTGCCAGGACCTCAAACATGCCTGAAAGGAGCAGGGCTGCAGAGCCAACCCCGCCCAACAACAGACCCTACACTAGAAACCAAAACAAAGCGCTTTTAAAGAATGCCCGCAGGAATGTCACCAGACCGGTCAGAGGAGGCAGCCTTTTCAGTTTCTAATGTCCTTGTTAGCAAAGCGACCTGTTTCCAGGTGACGAGAATTGCAGCACTAGAAATGCAAAGCAAGTCCGAAGCCTTCAAGCTCTCCCCCACTGCAGCATGAGGTACCATCCATACCAGCTTCTCTGATCCCCGAGTTGTGTGCCTGGGAAAGTCACGGAGGAACCCGAGGAAAGCATTTGATGGCACAGAAAGTGAGACTGGACTGCTACTCAAAGAGAGGGAAAAAAGTCACTTTTTGTTAAAACAGGCAGAAAATCAAGAAAGCACTAACCCCGATCTGCCTGATAAAGGAAGGAAAAGGCTTCAGAGCCATGGGAGAGAGTAGGAGAGCCCAGACCTGCCTCCATCGGGTGCACTGCTGCAGCTTGCATAGGGCATGAGCAAACACTGCTCCATCCATCTGCACAAAGGACTTGGCACAATTTCCTTCTCATTCTTTAGTGTCCTAAAACTACTCCGAAATCTAAAAAACGTCACCCCTGCACTCTGGTCCCTGGACTGCTGTGAGAAAAACTTACCGGTGTTCTAGCAGAAACATAAATATACTTAATGGTATAGGCTAGCAAGTGATAGATTATTCTTCCTAGATTTAAGGGTTCTTTGGTTTGTGGGTTTTTTTTTGTTTGTTTTATTTTTTTGTGTGTGGGTGGGTTTTTTTTTGTTGGTTTTTTTGTGGGTTTTTTTTGTTTGTTTGGTTGTTGTTGTTGTTTTTTAAGATCTCAGGAGCAAAGGAGACACCGTGCAAGCTTTTTTACATGAGTGCACCCACAGAGTTTTGCAGAGTTGTAGAGTATGCCGTCTAGAATTTATTTGTGTTTTGCCTTTCAAATTAATTTTTTTGGAAAAAATATAAGGTTTTTTAATGCATTTGGAAGCTTTATTAACAGTTGGTTTTCTATGATATTTTTGTTCATTCTTCTGCTGCATAAAGAGAAGGGAAATCAGGATAACAAGCTCAGAAGTATCAACCTTCCTGAAGCTGTATTAAAGGAACAAAACTAAAGAACACTGATGCCATTTTTAAAAGGTGAGACATATTATTGAGGAAAAGTTCCTTGTTCTGTTACAGCTGCAGATAAAACTGTAAAGGCAACAAGTGACTCATTGACAATGTGAGTGAGGCATTGCTAAAGTTAGTGCATTTACAAAAGCAGTGTGAATGCTTGGACACTTTTTCCAAGAAAAGCATGCTGGATTTGCAGTAAATGCTTACCATGCTGAAATGCTGCTGAGCTCACTGGGCTTCAGAAAGAGAATATACACAGGCTGATTTTGTAAGTATAAAGTCACGGAATGAGGAAAGAGAAAAAAAGATCCACCTGAGTGAATTAACAGAAAAGTACTGAGTGATAGCAGTACCTGTGTGGGTTCGAATATGTTTCTGCAGGTCTCCTGAAGTCTTGAATGATTTGGTGCAATTTTCTTCTGTGCACCGATAAGGCTTTTCACCAGTGTGTGTTCGGACATGACTTTTTAACCCATACCCTGAAGATCAGAAGGGATGTTATAGTAGTGTAAACACAAAATTAGGATACTCATAAACCATCACCATCAAAAGCCGTGCTTGCCATTCCAATCAGGAACTGGATGATGAGTAAAATTTGCTCTTTCATTCTTCACAATCTCTTCATTCTACCATACAGAGCAGCAGAACTCTAGATAACAATTTAGAAATTCTTTCATCCTTCATTTAGAAAGAAAATACACTTGCATAATGCTTCTCCTTCCCTTCAGAAGGATAAATTGTAATCATTATAATGTGGATGAATATTTACTCTGCCTTCTGAGGAAGCTGTGTGCTCTGCATTCCATCTAGTTTTTACCTCTTCCCACTACTGCCACCAAAATGACATTTGCTCACAGAAAAAGCAGTACCACTAAGGGAGTCAGCAGTAAAAGCATATATAGGTGCTAACTGATAGCAGTCACAGACACTCATTCCCTTTAAGATAACTTTTAGGAACTCATCATCATCAAAAACTCTACCAGTTGAAAGTGAACTTTGGATCAGGTCCTCTGTAAATTATTTTGCAATGAGGATTTTATCAAGATTTTTCTGTCAGCATTTCCCTGAAAATATAACGACTAAAGAAGCCTGAAACAGCCATTTTAGAAAACAAACCTGAATTTTACTTGTGCCCACAAATGATGTGTATATTTCTACAAAATAAAGAAAGTCTGTAAGAAAATGGCATTTGCTTTAATTTCACAGCGTGTTCTCCCCAAACAACTGAAATTCCTATTCTTGATGTTCTTAAAAACGCAAAGCATGTGTACCAAGCTGAGCATTAATTCACTCTTTACAACTAAAATGAACTCAATTTCATGATCCAGTCAAGGAGAGTTCTTCATATTTAAACCAAGAGCAGTCAGTACTTCAAGTGAACATTGTCAAAGGCAAGGATTGCTGAACTACAGTGGTACAACAGCTCTGACCAAAAATATGGTATTTACAGAAAACAGCTGTTTATATCCATACAGTCTGTTGCAAAAGAAGAGAATATTTCATTGTGTAGTTTTGAAATCCCTTTACAAACACTATATAATTAAAGGGGCAGTTCTGTAAGTGTGGTTGTTTCCTTTCTGACCTTTCTCATCAGCATTTATGTACTAGATCAGATGAATTTATTTTAAAAACACCTTATTTAAAAAAAATAAAGCCTAACTTTTCTAAGCATCGTATTAATTTACATTCAAAGGAAAAGAATAAAATGTGAAACAAGACTTGCTCTTCGATTTTCTTCCATGTTTCATTCTTCGTAATTACATTTTGCACAATCAAAGTCAATCTCAGGAAGAGCATCATTTATGAACAGAGCAGTCTGTACGAATTGTAGTTCACTTCATAAGAGATGTCATTCTGATACAAATTCAGTAAAGAACACTTAAAACAGGATCTTCCTTCGAAGTTCCTTTCAAATTTAGACCAAAAGATCATGAATCTACCTCTAGCCTAAAGCTTTCTATTATCACCAAATTTAACTTTTGCTATTAGCTTAATGTTAAGAAAGGCCTATTTGTCAACATAAAATTTGACTGTAGCATAACAGGTGAAGAGTAAGGGAAGTGTCAAGTGTTTCATGTCATTTCTCCTTCAGTAACTAGGAGTTAAATCATTTTTAAGTCATTTCTTTGTTCTACACTAGCTGAAAAGATTACTTTTTTTTTGCAGTTCTCCCAAGCAACTTAGCAGTTTAAAAAAGACAATACTAAAAACTTACTTTATTCTGAGACAAACACTAACAAGCAGGAGGAGCTAGTCTACAAAAGATTACCTGTTGCAAATGCTTTGCCACATCCAGGATGTTCACACTGATATGGTCTGTCTCCTGTGTGTGACCTTTCATGCACCTGTTGACATCCAAGACAGAGACTTAATGAAATGTATCTGGTTATTTCAGCACAGAAACAGTTCATCCTCAAAGTCAACATATTTTATTTCTTTTCCTAAGATTCACATTCAGGTGTCTGTTTATATCAGTGATGAAAAATAACAAAATATAGTAATGTTTTCCTTAACACTAAAGATGCCTCTTTCCAAAGTTTAACCTGATCCTTCCAGTCGGTTTTGCACAAAACACTTCCGTAAACACAGGCAGAGTTGCCATCATGCATGTACATTAAAGACAGTATGCAAACATGCCTCAGAGCCCACTCTATATCTGATTTTTGACTCCACTGAATGCTTCCAATGATCCTCTTATATTGCACGAAAGCTCTGCAGCAAAGACACAAATTTAACATGTGATCCACAGAGTCAGCTACTCACTGGCTCCTGTATTTAGTTGAGACAAGGCAGCACTGCAAAGAGGTTACCTCATCAGCAAGTCATTATCTCAGCCTCAGCTGGAAAGGGAACAGCTCTTCACCCTTACTGTTTCAGTAATTCCTTTACTTAGTTTAAAAAGGAAGAGAATTAAGGAGTTGCCATCTGTAAAGAAAAGATGCTCCAGCTTTTCACTTTGAATGTTAGATCATTTTGAAGAGCCAGACTTTGTATTATGATGGTGAAATATTTAAAAAAATAGAATTTTTGCATGATCATACACACACAATAAAAAAGTCCATGAAGTGAACACTGGATTCCAGAATTATTGTGACACTTCTGGTGGGAACAATCTCAACAAGTGACTTCTTATATTATGGCAACAGAGTGGCTTAACACATCTGTATCTACCCAGAACACTAAGCAAACTCAGCTGAGCACCTGAGACAAATCAATCCAATAAACATTTGACAAAACAGCCCCACTGCAGCTGGCTCCCTGTTCATTTCCATTACTATTAACCACAAACTTTCCAAAAGAATCATGTCTACAAAGTAACAATGCACACTGTGTACCTCCTCACCTTAAGATGGTGAGCTGTTGTGTACAGTTTGCCACAGCCATCATAGTCACAGCGAAAGGCTTTCTCTCCAGTCTGCTGAGATTTTGCAGTCACTCTTGTTCCATGTCCTTGCAGGACAATCTTAAGTTAAAAAGAAAAAAAAAGAAATTTAAAAAAAATTAAAAATAAAAATCAAACCACACACTAAAAAAACCAACAACCAAAATGGATCAGAGACGTCAGACAACTTTATTTTGCTATCAAGCCAGAGCTGATTATGACAGGTTTCTTTTGTTTCTCTTTGCTATGCCATGTATTTCTTACTCCTCAATAAATAAACTAAACTAACTAGAAATAAATAGCTGAAAACATAAATTCTGATGAGAGAAACTGTAAAACATACTTGTAGCTACCAAATTTAAATGCTTGCATTAATTAGCTAAATAGCAAAGACAAAATAATTTAAAAAATAAGGCAGTGTTAAAATGACCAAATGAGTAGACAGAAGAATCTTAGATTACATCTAAGCTTCAGGAGGCAACTTAAACCCCTTTTAAAGGCTTCTTCATATGCTAACATACAAGAAACTTTCATACAGACTGAACAGAGGCCCAAATGTAAGCACTTTGATACAAATATATGCAAAGTAAATCGAGACTATTGTAAAGGTCTGCCCTCTTGGACCACCTCCCTTTTCTTATGGATCCAGTTCTATTCTTAACTGCCAAAAGAACATTTCACAGAATGGATGAGGAGAAAACACCTCCAGCTCAAAGCACTTCAGCTGCAGCAAGTTCCTCACAACAGTATCCAACTGGGTTCCGAGTATCTCTAAGGATGGAGACTGCTGAAGGCTGCCCCCAGCCTTCACATTTCCCATTAATTCTTCTTGGCAACTGAAGTCCAGCAAAGTGTCTCTCACCTTGCCAGCTGCTCTGTAACCTGCTTTAGATTGCCAGTTGCCACCCCTGAACTCCAGATTCCTCCTGGATTTCATGTGCCCTGCTGTGATGCCCTTCCAGGAGATACTGAAGTTGTTAAAATTCCCCATGAAGACGTGGCCCTGTGAACATGAGGCTTCTTCCAGTTGTCTGAAGAGGGCCTCATGTTCTTCCTGACCATGCTCTCTGCAGCAGACCACAACCACCACAACCCACCCAGGCTGGTCATTCTGACCCATCCCAAAGCAGAGCCCTCTGCAGTCCTGCTGTTCCCACATGAAGGGCAGCTCCTGCTCCTCTCCTTCCCCACCTGGCCCTATTAAAGAGCCTTGGATCCATCCATCACAGCACTTCAGTTGTCTGAACTCTCCCACCACATCCCTCTCATCCCAGCAAGACTGTAGCCCTGCAACTACACACTGACCTCTATTTCCTCACTCAGACAGATCAGAAATTGGATTGGGAACAACATTCCTACAGATTCTTCAGAGAGGATGCAATACCCCCCATTACCTTCAGACTGTTCTTAAGACTGAGGAAGCAAAGTTACATATAAAATTTTAATCAACTGAAACATTCAACTCCATCACTTCAGAAAAGCTTCTCTGGAACCATGGTGAAAAACAAAACCTCCTGGATCAAGAAACCCATTATTAACACTATTGTTTAACCTATGATAGCATGAATCACAAAAGTCACCTCAATATATTAAGGATCATGAAGAATATTCTTGGTTGAGCATCTGCACTGAAGCACTGATTTTTTTTTTTCTATCAGTAAACCTACTACTATTTCCTTGTTGTTTCAACATACAAAATATGTATATATTTTCAGAGATCTGCTATAAAGCTGAAATATGCCAAAGTTTAAAAGAAAATGAAAACAGTTCTATAATGTGCTGATATCTGTAAGGAAATAACGAGACATAATTTTACCAATGTTAAGATTATTTTATCTTTCTCCTCCACTTCTAAACACACAGAATTAAAAACCCGCTATTTTTACGAGACCACAAATGCATCCTGAGTTCAGACAGGTAACACAGGGGAAAAACAAAGGTAACAAAGAGCTCGGGTAAGCTTTTTAGACTGCATATGTAAAAGCAGAATCATATAACCAAGGTCTGTATTACGAACAGATGGGTATGACAGGTTTGAAAGGAAATAGTGTAGGATATCCACTTGGGCACACAGAGTCTTTTCTTTCCACAAGTAGAAATCACAAAGAGGTTTTATGCTTTTTTCTGTGGTGAAACACCTCACTAACCACACGCAAGTCTGAATGACTGCCTAACAGTACTACATCTGTTACCTCTGGACTTAAAATGTTTATAAATATACACCCAATTAATTCTACGTGTAAATATGACTCTATTTTACCCCAAGTAGTATATTAATTCAGAATGAGTTACAAGTAGGTATCCACTTAAATCAAGATATAAACATGATTTGTATCTTCATACATAATTAAGAGCTTTGGGCCCCTTCAGCTGGCCAACTGAAGACACCTTATATGGGTCAGAATTTGAGACTAAGCCTCAATCCCTTTTGAAATACCAGATCTCTTTTTGTTTGGAACATATAATGCTCCATAAGATTGGCACACTTCCACATGGCACATATGTTGCCATACATGTCTAAGATAAAACAACGTTTAGATTCACTTTGTGTGGGGCTGAGGCCAAAATCAACATTTAAGTGGATACTGGTCACAAGGAATTTTGCTTAATAGGCTCTTACTTTCAGTTAAAACCAACCAAGATCTTCTCTTACTTGTCCTTGAATTTTGCTTTTTATTGGGGTTGTATCCCTATTCCAACCTACAAGTGTGCAAACCCTCTGAATTTCTTAATTTCATTTTCTGGAATACAGTACTGTATTTTACGTTGGAAGATATTTTTCCTCCTTATCTAGTTCATTGTTTCTTAAATTAAACAAAAAGGAAAGATGGGGCTTCTCTGGGCAAACCTTTCTCAATGCAATGACTTTTCCAGTTTTGATTTTGTCATCTGAACACGTGAGGGTATAGAGGTTTTAGTACTATTTTTGCTGTTGGCCATAACTTTTGAAGTCCAAATAAAATATTATGTCAAATGCATAATTTTAAGGATCACAGGGGAATAAAAAGCTTGAGACTTAATAAGTTGCACCTGTATTCTCCATTACCCCTTGAACTTTAAAGATCATCTTTTCACATTGAAAAGGATTTTATATTTCTATGTACTAACAACACGAATCCAGAATAAGAAATGGAAGTATTTTTCTGCTTCTTTAAGCATTCACTAGGGACAACGCTCTTACCTACTGATTCCTTATAAAACCTGCAATAAAAGTGAGGCACCCTAACAGGGAAAGTGAAATCCAAATAAGTCAAAGAGAGAACAGTTCCAGACATATGCCTGGAATGGTCTCTCTTGAGAAGGAAATAAACAATTAATTGAGACAGTATTCTTTCTGCTTTAAATACTATTAAAAGTGAGTTCATTCCCTGGAAAAGAACTTCTGAAAAACTTACACTCTTACTGATGAAATACCCAAGTCAGTTTGAAAAAAATCTTAGAAATCCAACATAATTTTTAATTACCTTTTAACAGAAAAAAACTCTAGAAAATAATAAGTACTAGATGATCTTTTTAAAATCTTGTGACAGCATCTTGTACAAAGTGAGATAGTACAATCTATCTGCATAGGATTGAGATCTAAAACTCCTAAGGGATAGTAGCAGACCCTAGTTCATGGCTACAGGACTATCATGTAGCTTGCTGGGCAAAGAAGGCAGAAGAAATTAATATACTTATTTTGTATTGGGAACATACCTGCATTTTTTTATCTTGTTCATTTTCACCTATCATTCCTGTGCCACTAACACTGTCATTTCCATCAATAGACACCTGAAAAACAAAATTGAAATGGGAAAAACATTTACAAATTATTTTTACTCATTTGAAAGACAGAGGGTTACAGACAGACTAGACTCTGAGGGCTTATTATTTCATAGCTCTCTAGCTCCCTCCCTTTGAAACACAGTGATCCTGCAGTGCATTAAAAATCACCACATGCAGCACCTGCATTACAGAACAGGCAAAGGGAGTGTATCAAAGTTGTTTTATAAATTTTGTAAATTTAACAATACTAAGTTCTGACAGAAAAAAAGAAAACATTTACTTCCTTTATAATAAGGAATTTATCTCATTCCCCATGAAGCAGAAATTACTTGTTTTGAACAGCACAGGTAATTTGATTCCAATGGGGTTAAGACAATATGTATTACATCTCAATTTGAACTAGTCAAATTACAACAGCTAAGCAAGGACTTGTGTATTGCTCTATGGGTTTGGTTTTAAAAACATTCTACAGGAGAAGAAAGATATTGCTGCTTTCCAAGGAGCTTATAAAAATATCTGAAAGTGTATTAGATGTTAATGTGATCATTTTTATTTAAATTAAAATATAACTCCTCAGCTTAAAAAAAAAAACAACAGAACTATCTTGCATGCAGCAACTCGAAGAACAGTCTTATTAGTCACTGTAGAAAAAATTAATTTAAAGTATACTTTATATAGTTTCCCTTTCCTTAATTGCCTCTGTATTAAGCAGAGGCATTCACAATACTCTCTGCATCCATTATACTCAAGATTGAGAGGGATGCACCTAAACTTAGTCTAAGTGATTTTTTTATTCTCTACAACAGCTTGGCAGGAACCTACCTCACCTGGGATGCTCATGCCCTTTCCCTAAGGAGGCCAGAGCAGGCTCCTGAGAATGCTGTGGTTATGTAAAGCTGATGCCTGAAGCATCAGTTCACCTGGAGGTGGGAGATGAACTTTTCCCTTAAGAAGGCTGTCAGACTGTATTCTCTCTCCAAATTAGACAGTTGTCAGTAATAAACTCTTGGGAACTTCAAGCTAAAACAGTGAAGAGGAAAGTGCCCAAACAGAGGCAAGTTTACATTACAGAAAGATTGCAAACAGAGTCTGAAAGCAGGTAATTTTTGGATGGGTTTTTTAAAAGGAAACAATAGCCATTTTGGGACCTTCTCCTGCAGAATTTTTAAAGGAAGGGGAGAGAACCTTCACAGAAAGGAGACTTAAATTACTTCCTCCTGATCCTCCTGTTGTTGATTGAGAAAGTAACTGAAATGAAATTAGAACTTCATCAATGCCACTGGAAACAAATGATCCAAACAGAACGTGCATGCATGTGTGGAGACATGCAGGAATCCCAGGAACTGTACTTTGCCAGCAGCTGTAATGTGGCAGGAAAAGAGCTTATGGAAGGATAGTATGTGTTGTAACCTCTTCACAGTTCTATCACATACCTCCTGACTTTATGTTCACAGAGAGCAAGGATCTCTTTTTTCCTTGGCTGCTTTGGGAGGAAAGTGGCATTGACTCAGCCCAAAATTAAAAGGACTATAGTTAAGTCTGCATATGTTTTGCAAGATGTGGGTAAGTAGTACCGTGCCTGAAGGAGAAGCGAGGGACAATGAAAAATGCACATATTCCACCAGTGAGCTTCTGTGTAGTCTCCTTGTATCTCTTTGTATGAACTCTTAATAGTTTCTGTACTGATCCTGGGCAGCCCACTGAGCTTCGCTGGTTTTGCCTGTTCTGTAGGACAGGGAAACAGAAGAACCACCACCCTCCAAACCCGCCTTTAAAAATTTTAAACCTCTCTTTCGCAGTATTGTGAGAATTCTGGAAGGATTCCAAGGCAGATCTTTGAGTTCTTCCTAAAGAAAGCTTTAGTCTGCCTTCAATAAAAACATAATAACACCTACATTGAGTCAAACTAAAGGCCATACTAGTGCACCATTTCATTTCCAACAGCAGCCAGTAGCAGATGCTGGAGAATACTAAACGAACAGGTCAAGCATGTAGTGATGCATTCCCTAAAATATTCTTCCAACCTCCAAGCAATTTGCGGCTTATGAACTTCCTGAAGCAGAAGTCACATGTTCCTACCTAATAGCTGTGGACACATTTTTCTTCTATGAATTTATCTAATTACTCTTTGAATCCAGGGATATATTAGCATCCACAATATCCTACGAGCAGTGCAGTGGCTTAACTTTGTGCTGTTTGAAAAAGTATTCTTCCCTTGTTTTTCTTGAACTCATCACCTGATAGAGTTTCATCTGATATTTCCAGTTCTGAAACTGGTACAGACAATGACAAATCACTACTCTTCTTTGTGCCACTTAAAATGTTATAAAATTCTATCATACACTTAATTTATGTATTTAATGCCTTCCTGTACCTTTTTCAACATGTCTATACCATTGAAAAGCTGCTATGGAAAGTGTACATTGCCTCACTGTGAAGTGTACAGAGACACGGAGTAGAATCCCAAAACCACAGTACTCCTTTTAGGGTTGTGACCAGTGAGCTATTATTTGCTTTTGTAAGTAAACCGGGTGTAGTACTTGGAAACTCACTTCTACTGACTTTCCCCAGAGGTTTGAGCAGTACCTTTCAGAATAAAGTTCTGAGACGAAAGTTTAAAGAAAATAAATAGAATTTTTCCTAAACATAGACACAAGTGCGCTACAGAAAACAAATTTACATTACAGAATTAAAAAAAAACATACTGAGGTAAATAGGGCAAAATTGCAAATTTATTTGAATTTCTTCTGTTTCTTCTTTACCTTCTCAAAACAGAAACTTATCAGAAATTATGATTAATGTAGTTGCTGGTTAAGAAGGGCAAAATTATGACTGATTTAAACCTAAATGAAATAGTAGAAAGAGTAACAGAATATGTAAAAGCTTTTCATTACAGTTCAACTGACCTTGTGAACTACCTTTTATTTTATGAAATGTTAAGGTATAGCCAAACACAACACCGTTTGACTGGCTGTATTAGTATTTCTAATACTAGTACAGACAGAAGCCTAATAGAAAGAAGAGCGCATAAGCCATTTAATTATCCTAAATGGCCTTCTCCCAAAATTTGACAACTCCCAGTGACTCTAGAAGATTTTAAAATTTATTCTACTTTTTCCAGAGCAATACAAGCACTGATGGTCATTATCCAGCAACTGGGACACTGCTAAACTATAGTCCTGAAGTTGCATCACCCATTGCTATACTTACAACATGCTTTACAGAAGTCCAGTAGAGTGAACAACATAGAATTTTGAGCATCATACTACATTTTACTATTGAAAGTATGGATCAAAGAAGTTTTTTCCGAAGTCAGTAACTGTCAATTATCTGTTTTACACTTCATACCATGTGTTGTCCTTGCCCAGTACACCAGGCTGTTCTCTTCCGATTCAGGAAAAAAAGAAATCCAGCAATAGTGGCTAACAAGGATAATTTAACTTTGACCTTCTTTCCAAAGAGCGTCCTTTCAAGAGACTCCTTTGTAACAGTGTATTATACAGAAGATTATTATCTAGCTATGTAAATCGCTTTCCAAATTGGTCTGACTTCAGCATTCAATCTTTTTCTTTTCTGCAACACTACACACTGGAGCTGCTCATGACAGTGAAACACCGTCATGACAATTTGATGTTCTCTCTTCTAAGAGTCTAAGACTCTCTTAATTATAATTTTAATTCTTAGACAACAGTTGGCTTTTGCTGCTACACTAAAACATTATGGATGGAGGAAACATCTCTCAGTGTACCTTGGCTGCGTATTGCTCCAAAGCACTGATGGTGTCTGGGTCGATGGCAGCATCTCCTGTGTGAAGACCTGCAACGGTGCCATCAGCCTGAATGGCTAAAATGGTATCTGACTGTGGCATTTGCACCGTGTGGTGGATGTAGGCAGTGGTTCCATCCTCCAGCTGGACAGCTTGTAATGCACTCTGGTCATAACTGTCTGAGAAAGGGTATTACAAAGTGTTAGGATTATAAAAGGAACAGCAGTGTCTGCATGTTACATGGGAAACTACTGCTCTTCAGGAAATGCCTCCTGAAGTCATAAATACATATGAGATATATGAGAAATATAAACACTTAAAGTAACACTATGAATAGCATTGAGGAAATTTTTTTCAAGACAATACCTCCTATAGTTTTATTTCTGCACTTATGAAAGTACAAGCAAAAATTTATATTGGTCTAGCTTTGTTTACAATGGAAACCAGGAACTCAAATATGCTTTCCATTTAATATCCACTCTTAATAAAATTAAAATAATATAACACTTATTGATGTCAATACTTCAGATTTTAGAATTCATGAATCTGATCATTTTCAGTAGATAATCACGAAAATATGCGAAGAAACACATAAAATATATGATTACTTTTAACAAAAAAAAAATCTTTATTACATTCTCTGCTCTTGGTATTGTCACATTGGTTTAAACAGACCGAAAATATATACTTGATCACTTTTTCTAGAGAAGTGGTATTATTTCCAGGACTAGTATAATCATCTTCTACAGAAACATAAATTAGCATTTGGAATAAATACATTTGCATTCTTGCCTGTCAGCTGTCACATTTTCTGCCCTACTGCCTAATGGCAAAATCATCAATCGCATGATCTTTAAAATTTAGGCCAATCTCTACATTCTTTAGCTCAAGCAGGACTGACTGACTCTTACCTAATTCTTTCTCTTCCATTTTCACATGCAGTTATTGCTGACATCTGCATAAGGCCTTACATTCTCTACTAACATGACATTCACTTACTCTAATGTGAACCTGGGTTAATAAGAAAATGTGGAATATGCTGGTTTGGATTCTGTTTATAACTGTTACAGGAGGCCCAAATAAGGAACCAAACCAGTCTCATTTCAGCAATTTTCACATGTTACATAGTAGAGGCAACAAGTAATTTACACTGGGAATCACACTAACTAACGTGATAGTTGTAAGAGAGTATCATATTTGATACTGCTGAAGCTCTGTTGAACACTAATGTAACGAATCACACTTCAAAATAGAAAGTTACCTTTTGAGGTGTGATGAATAAATGCTGTAGTTCCATCTTCCAGCTGAACTGCCTGTCCATCCTCCAGACGCAAGCTGTCCCCTGTTCACAGAATTACAGAACTTCAACAATAGTCTGAAGAATACTTTAGCTGGAAAGATTAAACACTAAATACATAAGATTACAAAATACCTAAGATCTCTTTATGACTGTTTCCATTACAATAAGAAATCAAGCAATTATCTCGACTGTTAATTAATTGATCAATATTTATCAGTAATAAATTATTTTATAACATATTTTTTGTATTGTTGCACTCACTGCTTTTAGGCATAGGTACATGTTGAACATAAGCAGCAGAACCATCTTCTAATTGAATCACTTGGCCGTCCATTAATTTACCATCTGAAACATACAGACAATTAGAATTCTTAAAAATATTCTAACACATCACAGTTTAAACACACAGTTGATACTTTCTGGATTAAAATATAAATAAAGTATTATCAAGAAATAATGTTAGGTAAAGAGTAAGCACAATGTAGCTGTACAGAGGTTTTAAAATTCTGAGATTATACACATGGAAAAGGTCTGTTGTCCTATCCAGTGGGCAGAATGTTGATATTTCAGTTTGAAGTGTAAAGATCACTTCACTTTTGTTTGACTCATGTTCTGAATTTGATTTTTGCATCTTATTAGTAGCATAAGTAAATATTTATTTAACAGTATTACTGTAATACCTGTAACTTCCAACTGTAATTGGAACTTCATAAACATTGTACAGATTTTGCCTGACTTTAAAATCCAAAGAGAGGGCTAAAAAGGGGATATCATTTCAATACTCATCAACTTCCAGTCCTTAACGTACCTTTAGAATTGTGCTGTATGTAAGCAGTGGAGCCATCAGCCAGGGTAACTGCTTGCAAACTTACACCTTCCATGTTTTCCAAGTTATCCCCATCTGGCAGGGAAAAAAATTTCAGGTTCACTATAAACAGCATCAAACCCTAGAAACCTCAACTTAAAGCATACTGACTTCAGAAAGAATAATGGCAAGTAGTTCTTACTTGCTTTCTGGTTTCTGAACCTTGATCACATATTTGGGACATATGTTCAAGATTTTGCTCTGTAAACATGACAGCTAAAATGTTATTTTCCTTAACTAAAAAAATATACGACACTAAATAACTAACTACAAATTAGGCCATGAGAATCAACAATTAAATACCATTATATATGCTTGTATTGATCTTTCTGTTTTGTACAACATCAGCTGTCACTGATACACACAAAACTATTTACGATAAAATACAGGAAAGAGTTTGTAATCATGTAAAATCATAATAAAGCTGTCAGAAAACATTAAGTTTAAGCCACTCTTAGGTCATTAACCTATTTTAAAACTTGTTTAATACCCACTTAGATATAAACTGAAGTTACAAATATAAAAGAGTAAGACTATACTGAGAATAAAGTCAGATTTTATATTTCACATTGTGGCACATTTACACTTCTCTCAATCAAGACATAATTTCCTTTCAGAATTAAATTAGTGAATTTAACCCAACCTCAGTTAACCATCTTCTGATAGATTTTTCATTTCAAATGCACTACATGAATTTTAGTGTTTTATCCGAGTTTCAAAGAGGAAAGACACAATAATGTAGAGATATTTTAACCTGAAGGTTCACCTTGCACAGCTACAGCTTCTGTTAGACACAGAGTCACGTGCTGGGCCTCCATTCCTCCTCCAGAAAATTCAGTCATTCCCTGAGAGTCTCGATTTATCTGAGCTAGTAACATTGTCTACCTAGAAAGAAAGCATTCACAAAATAGAAAATTTAAATACAGAACCAGTTAATCCCAGTTTAATGTGATTTTTATACGGCTGCTACAAATATTTTGTTAGGGTTTATATAAAAAAGAGGCAAAGAATTATTGACTTATTTGGAAAATACTTCAGAGGAATAAAAGTTATCTGAAATAGGTAAACATTACTTCCTGAATTAACTAAGCTGTTAAGGACTTCACATAGTAGTTACTAAATTTAAGTGCATCAACTACATTTAAATTTCAGTTAAATATAAATTATTTAACCAGTGTATAAAGAACAATGATGGTAATGACAGTATAAGTAATGATAGCTGTTTGTCCCCAGAATTAAAATAAAGCTGACAATTCACCCACATCACCCCTGACAACAGCAGACCTTTACCTGCATAAATTAAACACCTCTTCAGTGCCAGACCGAACCTATCACACAATGGGAAATGTACACTTCATTAGTAAGTCTAGCAGAATGATCCAACTATTTCCCTAGACTTTCCAGAAAGATTTCTTTTTAAATAATAATAAAAAAAAAATCTGTCCTTGAAAATAGTGAAGTATCTCATGATGAAATGTGTTAACGACACAACAGCACAGTGACTAGGGAGTGACTGCTGTGTCTCACAGAACCAGATATAGCCATCCCTTTGGATACTGAATTTTTTACCCAGGCATGTTTCAATACGGGAGATTTATAAGTTTACTGAACCTGAAAGACTATTAATAATTTTCAGTATTACTGGATTAAGAAGCTATAAAGGAAATGTATAACACTGCATTCTGCTAACTCAGATGTTGGCTTTAGCCACAAGGAACAAAAAAACCCAACCAAACAAAAAACCAACTGAGTTCTGCAAAGCCTTTAGTTAATGTGACATCCACTTAGATGTGGATGAAAAGAGAGGAGAAAAAAAGCATCACATGGAACTGGAATCTAGGCTACAGAGCATTACATTGCCCCCCCCAACCTCTTGATAGTCAAGAGTTTTTCTTACAGTAAGAAGCAGTTAGATAATCTCACAGAGAGGTTACAGATAAACAATCACAGCTTTCAATCCTACTATGGTTCTATGACCTGCTGGTTTACAATTCAAGGCTGAGACGAATAATCTAAGGTTTTTAACTTACTTATGATTACATTTCTAAATAACTAAACTATTTTGAGCTCTCAGAAATCTACCCTTGGATAATTCCATCAACAGTCTCAAAGACCACTGAAAAAACCACGCCTATGTCAGAACTAAAGAATAAGGAACGCAAAATTAGTACCTACCATGTAGGTACTCCAGCATGCCTACAGCATTTAAAAGGTTAGTACACTCATTTAGTAGTTGAAAGTTATACCCAAGTAATGTTTTCCAAATACACCCAAGTGTACATAGTGAGCCAGACTATTTCCTAGATCTGTGGGCAGCTACTTCAGCTTCTTAGTCTGAGCAGAGGACGAGCAGCTGCCTTTGGCCACACTTCAGCCAGGGCTGTGCACAAACCAGTGTGTCCCCACAGCCTGCTAACTTTTAATGTGCTGTTACACTACGTACCCACAGCACCTCCTGTGGAGTCAAAAGCCCCTTGACAGGTGTGAGGATATTACTGACATCGTGCTTAACTGTTAAGAGCCCAGTAATGGAAAAGATAGAATTTAAAAAAGAAAATGGAAAGAAAGGGTACCTTTGGGAAGGTTTTAAGCCTCCCGCTTTTCTTCATGTGCTACATTGAAAATCACACAAGAAAAAAAACATGACTAATGATCAGTTCATCAGTAAGAAATATGCTTTCCAACATTAAAATCCTCCATAATTTCTACCTGGAATATAAAGGAGATTAAAATACTGGTCTATAATATGGAATTTGAACCTGGAACAACTCTAGCATTGAAAAGAAAATACAATTAAGATAGAAACCAAAATATAATTCAAAATGTGTATGAGATGTTTTTTTAACATCCAAGAGAAGATGGGTAATTCTTCTTCCCAGCATCCTTTTCAAGAAAAGCTTTTACAGAAAATGAGGCCACTAAAAGAGTTCTAATACAACCAAAAAAGAGCTGGTGCATAGAAGCCATCCAGACTGCATTTATAGTAGATGTTTCTGAAGAAAATGAAATGAAAAAAATGAGAAAGGGTTTTTTGATACTATAACCTAAGGGACAAGGAATTGTATGAGGACATAAGAGATCCTCAGTTCAAACTCCTCCTCTGCCATCTCCACAACGGTGACTTTGGACAAGTAACTTCTTTCCTTACTGCTCATTTATCACCCCCAGTATCAAAATAGGGAGAAAATACTTAAGAAGCACTTTGTTTGCAAACCAAATATGGGACAACATCTGTAGCCTAACCAGGCACTCAAGAGGCCCTACTCTCAGCACTCACGTATTATGGAGCAAATACGATCAGAGAACTGATGCAGTTAAAAAAAAAATCAACTAGCAGCAAAATGAGATTTATTGCAGACCAGTTTGAAGGACTGTTTCTCTGGAGGTACTTCCAGCTTGTAGGAAGTTAAATTAAGTAATTATAGTATTATATGCTAGTGGTGCACAGAGGGGTCTTCTTAACTGCTAACAGAGGTCTGTGGGGCCTGAATTCTCCATTCACTGAATTTTCAGGATACCTCACGGAAGCAGGTTCCAAAACAGCCAGACCATTTCACACAGCAAAGAAAGGCTACACAGCCACTGGTTTTGACTAGAACTGTACAGTGAAACAATTCCAGCAGGGACTGTACCTCAAAGGCCTTTCAGCTCAGGTAAGCTTGACGAGTATTCCATCTTAGATTGAGTATCTTGTAAGGATCTTCTAAAGTACCATATGCCTTCTTCCAGGGCTTAGGGCCCTTCTCTCACCTTTGGGGCAGTAGTGAAGAACCCCATCAGCACAGGCAGCTGCACAGTTCTTGACAGAGTCTGAGCAGAACCAATAGTTTAAGGGGTCAGTAACTATTTTGGAAGAAGATAAATTCAAGGGCCGAAGCAGCAATAGTATTTGTTATATTGTTTCAGTGTTTGTTACTATAGCGTTGCTGACTAACAACTATCACACGCTTGAAAAGAACCAAAGTGAACTGCTGCACAGAGCAATTCTACTACTTTCCTCTATTCCCCATGAACTGGACAATCACTACTATCTTACACAGTAACTTACAGACTGTACTGCTGCTTTCTCCCAATTTTAGCCACTTGAAATGATCCCTTCCAATATAACCTTTTCCCAATCCTCTGTCCTTCCACTAAGTTTCTTATTCTCAGCTCTATCCCTTCTCCTTGAAGTACCAATTTCCTTCTTCAGCCAGTCTTACCATGGTACTAAATTTCCAGGACATCCCTCTTATCAGAACAATCTAAAATACTTCCATGTCCACACCAGCTCCTTCTGCACTAGTCTCCAAGTCTTCTCTTACTGCTGCTCTGTTCTACATGCCCATCACACCACTGTCTATCACCTTCCTGCCTCTCTGATTTAAGACATTTCATGTTTAGACTCACCTTGGAAGCACATCTCCCATAAAAGAGGTTGGAGCACTGGAACCCTCCCAGACAGCAACCCCCAGGACTCACTCCTTTGGTGACAGCAGATTTGCTCTGTCACTGCTGTGCAGGGAGGAGAACCCTCAGCCAAGAGTGGATGAGCTGCTCCCTTTCAACCTCCGTTCCTTCTCCCCAGTGGAGAACACAGACCAACCAGACAGGGCTATGAGCTCTGAGAACAAGGAAAGATGTAAAGCTGGCCTGTAGAGAAATGATCATCCTGTCAAGAGAGGCTGCTGCTATGGCATTACTTTGTAAGAGTGGTCAAATATAGGAACAGATTGCCAAGACAGGTTATGGGCTCTCCCTCCTTGTAGGTGTTCAAGACTTAACTTGACACAGCCTTGGGCAACCTGGTCTAAGAGACCTGCCTTGATCAGGGCAGGTATCTTCTGGAAGTCCCTTCCATATTAAACTGCTCTAGGATAATTTTTATAATGCATACACTTAAAACAGTATCCCCATGCTGTTGGTATATCATCTACCCTGCAAATCTACTCTCCTAATGTATTTTAATTTGCTTTGCTTTTCCAAAACCAGTCTGTTTTCATCAAACTCAAGTATCTTCCCTTACCTCCACCAGTCACTCTCTTCTACCCTCTTTTCCCCTAACTGGCTTATATACTTTCTCCTGAGCTTCCAGCAAATTTGTCTCCATCCTTTTTCCAATCTGGATTTCACCAGCTTTTTTTCCCTAATCGACCTCATTGCTTTTATTTCTGTGCATCTGCATCACTAAGCATTTTTCCTTAAACCTGTCAGGAGTTTTGTCAGCAAAAATCTGGGAAGAGAAAGATTTCCTTTACCCACTGCAAATACTGCAACTCATGAGTTGAAAAGCAGTTGGAAGCACCCATTTTTAGGAAAAGATGGGAACTGGGGTGGAGCCTGTGTGGCAGCTCAGCAAGACTGATGCACATGTGTTCTTAATCTCAAGAGCTGTCCAACAGAAAAGACAAGTACAGGCTCAGTCATGAAATACTCACTGAAGTGAAAACCTGAGACTTGACTTCCTGAACTCTGTTGCAAATCTCCATTGATCATATACATGTAATTTGTAATTTTCAAAGGCATGTTAATGGTATTTGGGAAGACTTTCACAAGGACAGTAACACATCTTGCATTCCTGAAACAATTAGTCACCAAAACAGTCCTATGGTATTCATGTAGAGAAAATCTTACCATTCTTTAAGGTGGTTAAAATACTTCTCAAAAAAAGTCAGCCCCAGACAGAAAAGTGAGACTAAAAATCTCTGAACTGGAAACAGTGTTTGACAAGAGGAAGCAACAGCCAGTAACTCCAGTATAACACTGACAGATTAAGTACACAGGTGCAATGTTTTATTTAAAAAACATAAAGAAACAAAACACCAAAAATCCCAAACCACCCCTTTCCCTCCTGCAAATTATCTGAACAGAAAAAACTGTGAACTCAGGCAATGTTAAATTCTCAACACTGAGGAGAGGTGGTTAAAAATAAAGTATTTTTCATGAAGACTTCATCAAGTTGCCCATCTAGAGACCACCTCCTGTATTTTTCCCTCCACTAACACTCAAATAACATGTTCTGGGTGCCATCACTTGTTTTGGAGAAAAGATGCAATGTTAAAAGAGTGGATTTTACATAAACTCAATTTCGCAACTGGAAACAGAAATCTCCAATAAGAACAGGAAACAAGCAACAGAGACACAGCAGGTGGATTCAGGCAGTTAAAAAGTGAGGGAAGAGCTGGCAGAGGGCAAGGCTGCCATGGAGCAGAAAAGGGGTTTGGGGCACTTGGGAACTCCAGCAGCTGAAAGGAAGTACAGCATGAGAAGACCCCAGTGAAACTGGAAAGTAGCAGGAATTTATCATTTAAAGAAAGACTAAATCACTGCATTGCTGGATAAAGGAGAAAACCTGCAGTAGAGAAACTCCTTAGAGAAAAAGAGATGATGCTTAGAGGATGATTCACAGGAAATGGAATAAAGTTTGTAATAGCAGTCATGGAAAACTTACTGTTATAAAATACAATCTTGAATGTGTGGAAAGAAATGGGAAAGTCAGACAGGAAAAAAGCTACTCCAGACATTCAGTAACTTTGTCATTGTTCACTCCCATCGTGAAGACAGCACTGAGAAGTTTGAAATAATACCCACTTATTTCATTTTAAAAGAAACATCACTTTTATTTCAATACATGTCTAAACAATGTACAAAATCATTGTAATTTTATAAAAGTTATAAAAATGGCAAATAAAAACCAATCAAGACAGCAAATGACATATAACCTCACAGTAGTAAAACTTTCATTAATAACTTCTAGAAAACAGCACTCCCACATTTGAGAAAGCTGGATCCCAAAATCAGTTCCAGTATGTCAGCACAGTAACGTAATTAAGCTTTTTCTGAACTGGCTACTGGCTGCATTAGGGCCCTTAACTGACATGACTGCAAATAGTTGTAATTTCACAAAACTAGTCTGAATAACAAACATTTGTGAAAGACCAAATTAGTACCTACAATTAATAATCTGGTCAAATACACTTGAATTGATAACTGATATGCAGTACAGCCTTCTGGGTCTCAAGGCAAAAGATGTCTGGAATGGACTGGAAAATTGCTTGTCCACACAAAGTTTCAAGAGGACTTGTAACATTTTGTTTTACTAATTATATGACGTCATTTGTCACCTATAAGCTTAGAAATACAAACATGGGATAACTAAAGACTTCACAATCTTACTTCTGTTTCCCTATGTATCAGTTTTACAGGAGAAATCTGGAGCAGGGTCAGAAAAGAAATTTACATTCTGTGGGTGCTCTGAACAAATGCTTCAACAGACGTGGATTTCTTTCTTCATCAACAGCTCTTACCTTTTCCAGTACTTTACCACTGCACTGAAACATTGAGGTTTATGCTGTAATCATTGAGACTGACTTCCAACAAATAAATACAATAGACTATTCAATGTCAGGCACTTCTAAATATTTCTCATATAATCTCAATGTCTTTTACTGTATCTTCTCCTGTCTCTTGTAAATGCAAAACATAATTAAACATCAGTTTCCACCACATTAATCATCCACAGTGTAAGAGAGAAACAAGGTTGAAACACAGAACAAAAATCTCTACTATGGACTCTGGTAACAATAGCTGGATTCAGATAAAGGGGTAAGATATGCAATTTAACAGCAAATTACACAATTAGTTTCTAATTTTCTACATGGTAAAGAAGTGTGTGAATTATCAACCATGGGCTCTAAGCCTGGCTCTGGAAAAGAACCTGACCAAGACTGACAGCACTGCCAACTGCACAAGCTCGATG